CGGAAACGAACCGCGGCCATCCTGTCATTTACGTTAAATATTTTGATATGCACAGGCAACGGATCGGCATTGATGTGGCTGTCATCGGCTGGGGTAGTTTTTGTTGCACTCTTGATTTCGCCGGTGGGGTAGGACAGGTAGATGCATCACGGTTTATTTCGGTTGGCCTTCGAACGTCGTACTCTCCTGGGTTAAGGCTTTAGCGTGGGACTTTGCAGCTTGCAAGGATTACGATGTAACGTTTTTGAGTAGAGATGTGAGGGTGCTCTGAGAGCTACAGAAGACGCCCGCCAGAAAGGTCCACGATGGGTTCTGGATTGGTTCTGATGTTGCAACCCCAATTATGCCCTCCTGGCACCCCGCTGAGGTCTCGTCCCATATGCTCAGCAGCGCAATGTGATTACTGATCCATGGGCACCACCGGCTCGCAACGCCAATGCAGCTGCCGGCATTCGGACTGACTGTAACAGATGCCCTGTCTTCGAAGCAATTGTAGATTCATTGGCAGCATCGAGTAACATTATATGACCTATGCTGAGCCTGGATCTGGAGCGGTTACGCTCTGATGGCTTCGGAACATCGCCTGCCCCTGACATGGTCGAGGCTGCGGTAGCACAGCGAAGCACAAAATCGCGGATCATGGGCGAGTGTTTGCGAGAAGCCGGCTCGACTACTACGGCTACTAAACGGCTTTCCTCTTTGCACAGGATCTTTCTCCGTTGCAAGCAGCACTTGAACTGCAGAACCCCATTCCAACGCCTGAATGTCCAGCAACGCCAATCGATCCTCCCAGATTCAGCTGCGTGCCATGAAATACGCACCCAGGAGGGTAAAGAAGGATCCCAGCAGTTTTCTCCTCGATAGCTTCTCACGCATAAAAACGGCAGATAGAAGCAGCGTGGCAGGCGGATAGGACGCAGTAATTGCAGACACGGCCCCGGCATCACCGTGCACCATTGCCCGAGTGTAGCACATGTTAGCCAGCGCCGCAGTTACTCCACTCAGCAGTGATGCCAGAATGGCAAACTTCGATCGGGAGAGAAGGCCAGCGCCGTCAGAGGGATCCCCCGACGAAGAGGGCTTCAGAATGACCGCCAGCGTGAGAAAGAATCCCAGCTTCTCCAGACCAGCCTCCTGAGAACCCGAGAGGCCACGGACCAAAGCCAGCTTTCCCAAGAAGCCCCAGCAACCATACAGAATCAAGCACGCGAAACTCGGGGTCAGCCAATCTGCTCGGACAGGGGCCATGCTCATATTGGAGCACAGTGCCATGAGCTGGTGCGCCTTGAGCCAGGCACTGTCTAGTTTCTTTGAGCCAGGGGTCACACAACCCGTTGCCAGGCTTGCAGACTTTTCTGGACTCTATCAAACCTGAGCGCAAAAGCCCGTATGTCCTGCAGTCAAACTCAGCTGCATGGAGATAGGGGGCCGATTTTGACTTGGGACTTTGATGGGATAGAACCTTAAACCAAGTCAGGGCCCGAAAGCATTTGGACCGCGCATGGATTGCAGAAGCACAGACAGCGGTGTGCGTATGTGTTCTTCGGTAATGTTCGGCAAGGCAAGGTTACCGTCTGAGTGTGTGCACGACTGCAGAACTTGGCCTTGTAGGGGCTTGCACGGCCGAATGAGCCAAGCCAGTCATCTGATGTTGTATTGATACCATCATATGCTGGACACCGCGGGGCCGAAAACGACTTTTTCTCGGCTGAGGCGACGCGGTGCGCATTGCCTTCAAGCAGCGCAACCTTCTTGTGAAAAATAGCTAGCATCGCTAGTATGCAAGCTATCGATGCCAATGCAAACTTAAGCTCATCTGCTGGAGACCAGTAGCATAGGTAACCGCAGGCTTGCAGGCAAAGCACGAGGGGTGTCTTTGAGCTGAAGTGGGACGGCTTGTGCCTGTCCCCTGCAGCATGTCAAGGAGATCTAGGAGTTTCGTCAGATCTCGTGCTGTTGCAAGCAGTGCGTCTGTGAGCCAGTCTGACGTCCATACATGCTTCCGACATCCTGTCTCGATCCGGTTTACAAATGTATGCATCGTCGCAACCGCACGTTTGGCTGAATTCGACAGCGCTACCTACATGCAGCGCATGTCACTACAGTCCTGGTGCGACTCCATGTCGTACGACATATCGTGAATCGTATGAGTCAAGAAGGTTGGCTTAGCCTAGCATGCCATGTACTATCCAAATCCTGACGCAAACATACAGGCTGCAGGCGTGGGCTACAGGCAGGGTTGGAGTGAGGAATGTGCAAAATGTCATTCTGAGGCATTCAGAGCTGCCGAGAAGCGACTCTTCAAGACTTCGCAGACCTCCAAACAGAACACAGTAAGTCAAGTAGGATGGTGCGGGCATGTCGCGCTTCCGGCATCCCATGCATCCTGAGACTCCTACCCGTCCCCCCTGTACGAAGCAGAAGCCGACCTTCTCCAGATCCCCGGACTCCGCCAGCTTTCCCGCGACCTTGTCAAACAAGTCCGCGTCGACGCCTACAGCCACCAGTCCTGATGCAAAGAGAGTTGTGGCGATCAGCACTGCTTTATTGGCTGCATGGCCTCAAGTACAAGCGGATGCAGGGCCCTTGAATTCTGAGTGTTGGTTTCGGTAAACACCGACTTGGAAAGTCTACTGCGTGCTCTGGCCTTTGCCAGCAGCAGACCTAGAGATCTACGGCGAACAACATCGCACAGGCTGTTGTTGCTGCCTCTCGTGATGCTACGGGAGCACAGCAGGACGTGACTGAAGTGTGCCCCTCTTCGTGAGGTCACATCAACCTCGGCTGCCGGACAAGACTGTGTCCCAAGACCTTGAAGTGTGCCCCTGTGCATCGGCCGATTGGCTTATCCGGACGAATAGGGCTTCGGATGGCTTCGGTGAGGTTCAACGTCAACCAATGTCGGGATGTTCGCAACTTCCAAGTTCTCGGCCCCAGACATGGTTGTAAATGCTAGATGGTATGTACCCACTGGGTCAACACCCCAGTTGCTCAGCCTCGTCGCATGCTGTTCAACTTCTGGCGTGGATCTGGAGGTGCCTCAGCATATCTGCCACAGAGGCTGGGAATTCACTACCGCTACATATGTTGCAGCCCCGTAACGTCGAGAAGCACGGGAGCTAGGATGTTGGACATCTGATCTGTTGTGAGGCCTGCTTAGCATAAAGTTACATCCTTGACCCTTCCTTTCCTCGAGCCACTCGGGATGAATAGCACACTAGCACACAGAGGTTTCATGAGGAAACTCGCAAGATTACATTTCAGCGAGGTACCTGTTACCTGATTGCTCCTGGTCTAATGCCATAGATGACGGTCCCAGCACCGATCGAGTCAACACATGCTTCAAGGGCAGAAGCCATGTTTCAAAGTGGTCAGCAATACCTTAGCAGGGTGGCCCCTGGATCCCAAGCAGCGGCAACAACGCATCAACTCCGGCTTCTATGAATGCAGATTCCCACGTCCATGGGTCATGTTGACGGCAAACGCTTCCGACATGGGAGCCGGACATTGGCGTCTAGGCGAACAGGGGCCTCAAGAAGATCGAGAGAACGGCTGGGCTTCGACATGGTTTGTCCAACTCTTTCCAACTGCACTTTGGACTTGGGCAGAGCGGGACCCAGAGAGTTGCCTGTTTCTCAGTCCACTAACTTTTGCGGGACGATTGATACAAGATTACCGTACTGCGAAAGTCGACACCATGCTACACAGCTCTACTCCGCCAGAGCTGGGAGGCCGGCGCTATCTGCACGGAGGTCGGCGCCACCGAGGAAGCGCTGGCAGAGAAGACAAGTCTTACGAGTAGGATGGAAGCAGGTCCAGGCAAGACGTATCCTATGCACGCTTCGATACATGTACCAATGTGTCGTATGTTATGTACATGTGCATTACTTAAGCTAAGTGCGTGTGTGTGTGTGCATATACATATATATGCTACCCCCCC